TCTGTTTATTGCTAGCCTCCCAGAGTAGAGTTCGGTCTAGATGGGCAGGGTATAAATAAATAAATAAATAAAAAGAGCAAGGTGAGAAAGGGGAAAATTAGCTTTTTTGTTCCAAGTAATCCATTTGAGAGCAAACTGGACAGAACCTCGATTTACACACAGAAGGCACATGTATGTGAAAACATGCTGAATGTAAACAAAGAGTCACCCTCACTGGAGATGGAAAAGAATCAAGGAATTATAGTTTTCCCTTGAGGAAGAGTGGAATGACCAAAGGAGTACTGTAAATATTGTTTTCAATGACAAAGATTTCGATGAATAAGTCACCCAAGATTGTGTAGCGTCTATCACAATGCCATCCCCACCCACTTTCTTTAATTATGACATCACTACACTTATTCTGCAGATAGGACAGTACATGGCCTTGATTGGAGGATTCTTGGCTTTAACTAGACAAACGTCTCTCTCTCTCTCTCACACACACACACACACACACACACACAGTTGTAAGCTGACATTTTTGTGACCTGACCAGACTTAATGGTCTGCTCTTTCTCTTTGCAATTTGAGGACAATTACAGCCCTAAATTCCCAATACATTTTGATTGCCTGAGATTTGGGAAAGAGCTACTGTTTGTAGAGTATTATGTAAGAAGAACAGAGCAATAGCGTTCTACCCTTTGGCTATAACTCGTAGAATTCCTCTCCCTGTCTCACCCCCTGCATGGCCATGCCAGATGGAGATTCTAAACAACTTGTTGCTTACCGTCTAAGAAAGTAACTTTTCCAAGACGTAGCCTGGGCAAATCCTCTTCATAGGGTTCTGTGAGAGCAAAATGGGAACAACAGGTATACCACTCTGGATTCCAATGTGGATATAAAAAATGTAGTTTTTGTCCCATACAGTAGGGTATATGAAATTTTAAGAGATTTTGAAAATCCTACTGTGCTAAACAACAGATTTAGAAAGAGAGGCGGCCAAACAGAACACTTGTCAGTTCTTTACATACATGTTTCTTCCTCGCCACATGCTCAAGGCTGACATCAGCACTTGAATGGGCCCAGTCCCCCATGAACACTTACTTACCTGAGACTCCTTGAATATTATTCTTATTCTCATTCTTATTTTTATCCAGGCCAGTGCTCCAAGCAGTATTGGGTCACTGTATTCCACAGTATTCCCACATGGGGACCTGTGGAAAATTTAAATGGTAGCTGTGCCTAACCTCTTTTTAACTATCCATAGTGCCCCAGGGGAAGTAAAACTCTCTTCATAGACACAAGCAAAGTAAAGGTGGAGTCAATACTGGAAAGCGCCAGTGGTTGGTTATTCCTTGGAAAGCAGCAAGGGTGGAGTTGCAAGTGACAGACAAAAATTAACAGAAACAAATACCTAATATTCTGGTGATCTGTTCAATATAAAGGTGAGGATGGGAGACCAAACAGTAAACTCACGCACAGCAGCAAAAGTAACATCATCATCATCATCATCATCATCATCATCATCATCATCATCATCATCATCATCATCATCATCATCATCATCATCATCATCATCATCATCAGGCCTTCTGCAAGTCCTGACTCAAAGATGACAAATACAAACGAGAAACAGAGAGAAAACACCAGGTGCTTGACTTTTTGGTTTGGGACACTGCCCTGGGAAAGCTAGAAAGTTCTGACTGAAGGCTCTCTGTGGCACAATAGGGCTGAGTCACTCCATTTGTAAGCCTGCCTTGGCAGACAAAGCCTTTAACTTTTGGCCTCTTTAGGAAGCAAATTCCTGCTTCTGGGGTGGAGTTTCCTGTAGGTGGGGAAACAAGGCCCTTGTGAAATCAGAGGAGACCTGGAGTATGACTTGCTGGAGGCAATGGGTCCTGACACGTAGGTGAAAGCCTGCCAGTTTGTACTTGGTCAATGCTGAGAAGAAAAAACTGGCTGGAAGCAGCTTTGAGGAACATGTTGAAACTACAGTATGTACTGTGCAATATTTAATTAATTAATTAATTTTTCTGTACTTATTTTTTATGCATGGATATTCAAACTTACATCCCACTGTGTTCCATGCAACTTATTTCTACAAGTAAATGAACACGGGATTGCCAGTTAGTGGGTTCTGTAAAAGAATTATAAGAGGAGACATGCCATGTGGGTGGCTGAATGCAATAAAACTAAAACATAGGATTCAGTACCTGGGAGATCCACAAACAGATTAGCAATTTGTCTCTTCTGCTCACCTCCTAGAGTCAACTCACAGGCAAGAGAAATGTGAGAAATGGCTGGTGCCTATGACCCCAGGGCTTTCTGAGGTCTCCTCTCTAGGGTGCAGAGGTCATAGGCCGTTGCTCTGCATCTTCTTCCCAAAGAAGCCTTCCTGTAAAGTAGCTCCTGAGCAGAGAGTTTTGCAAAGGAAAGATCATAAGAATACCCCTGCTTAGACAAAAGGCCTGGCCAATGAAGCGACTGTGGGGAGACCTCAATAAAACAGGTATGGATTTTTTTGAATAGTATGAACTTTTGGGACCACATGACTTTCAGAAGAGTAGGTAGCAGTGCCTTCTCATCAACTTTTTCTCAAGTATAGCTCCATCTCATATATTTAAATGAAACAGAACCTTCATAGAAAATAAGTGAAAATAAACATGTAGGGCTGTCCCAAAGAAAATGCTTCCACAAAGCCCACAGGTAGAGCATGAAAACATGGGACCTCTTTCTTTCTTCCCCAAGAGATGGTGTTCAGAGCCATACTACTTCTTAACCAGAACTGAGAAATGCCTACAGTATTGGCTATTCTTCATTAGGGAATTATGGGAATTCCAAAAGAAAGGGGGGAAGGAAAACTGCCAAATTCTGCTCTGAATATATGCAGAAGACATCATACTGATAGATCTGTATCTCCATTAATTTATCTAAGACTTTACTAAACCTTGTGGCATTGAAATTCATGAATTAATAGCTAATTCTCCAAAGAAGGCCAGAGGGGAGGGGCAAGAACAGAATTAAGACCTTTACCCCTCTGTGTGACTCACCACCAGACGTATCTGACCACGGTGGCTGTGGCTGTTAACATACAGGTTGTGGAAAAGGTTTCCTGGTCACTGTTTGCTACCCTGCAGCTACAGTGGATCCATAAAACCAGACACATCTGGTTAGCAACACATTCGGCATGTCTTCTCACATAAAGATACAAATAACAGCAATTTTGTGGGAGGAGTGTTGGGAATGGGATAGCTTTTCTCAGTCTCTCCAGAGTCATAAAACCATTTTGGGGTCAGATAGTTATTATAATGTGCTGTGAACAAACTGGAGACCTGTACATTTTGCTATGGTAAACAACAGCAACAATGGGCAGAGCCTCTTTTTACAACTCTGAATTGCTTGAAGGAATTCATATTATGTATACACTAAGAAAATTATGACAGACCTTTGGGGTAACTGAACAAGCATATGCATATTGCCTGTGGTGACTGTAGTGATTCTTCCTCTCCCTTTAACCCAGGCTTCCACAGTTCTGCACCAGCGATGGCCTCACCCTCCAGGTTAGACTCATTTTTTTTCATGCTCCCAAATTGGGCATCCTGTCCTACCTTCCAGATCTATGGCCTGGTCTGCTACTGGGGTCTCTGCATAGTTCTCTGGTGGGTGCAGGGACAAAGTGGGCAGCCCACTGGGGAGAACAAAGGCACCCTTCACAGTGATGTATAAAATCCCCATTCTTATGGGCAAGTGGTCAGTATTTACATACATTTTCCATTTGGTTTGAATTCACTACAACAGTGGTCCCCAACCTTGCGCCTCCAGATGTTCTTGGACTACAACCCCCAGAAGCCTTCACCACCACCTCTGCTGGTCAGGATTTCTGGAAGTTGAAGTCCAAGAACATCTGGAGGCCCAAGGTTGGGGACCACTGCACTACAACATATATATATGAATTACACCAAATTAGTTTTGTTCAAATGTGCCCAGGTTCTTTGGTTTTGACCTACCACTGTAAGTATTCAGAGCACACCTGGGCATGCAGGACGTAGCTTTTCACCAAAATGATTCAGAAAATACACAAAGATTCCCTCTGGCTAAATACAAACAATAGACTCATGAGCATGGATCAGTTAAAGATGTCCTGCTGCCTTCATAATGCCAAATGGTAGCTGGTGGCTCTTGCTTCAGGAAACTTAAAATATGTGCGTATAGAGCTTCTCTGAAATGTCAGATAAATAAGTGAGCTCAAAAGGTGTTTGAAAGCACTGAACTCAAGGGAGAAAAAGCACACCTTGCAGTCTTGTTTTGCCATTTACAGCATAAATGGCCAGAGAGACTGGCAAAACGTTAGGAAGAACAACTTTCAGAACACGGCCAAAGAGCCCGAAAAACCCACAGCAACCAATAAATGGATCTGCCAGGCATTCAGCTCCAGAGGCTGAGAAGTGCCTGGATCAAGGACCTAGTTCTAAGAGATAGTGTTGGGCCTTCTAAGTATTGTATCCATATACTTGCATGTAAAGTCCCAAGGCCGTTTTGGGTACAGAAAACAGGATGGTAAGGAGAAGTGTTGGAGGAATTTCTAAAAAAGTAGTACCATTGTAGAAGAGGTGTGGTTCACCATTGACTTGCACCTCTCCCTTAGCATCTGCAGCCTGACCCAGCTGCTGGGCAGTCCTGTCAGAGTGCTTGGAAGTCAGGTGAGGGAAAAGCAGTTGGATGGGACAGGGCGCGTTTCTCATAAAACAGCTGCAGTGGAGGATGAAAAGGTTAGGCAATCCAAACTTGGAGTGGTTTTCCCCCAGAAAACCATCCCTCTCAAAACAACTCTTCTGAAGCAGAGGACAGTGGTTGTCTGTTCATTCTGTTTTCTTATTTTTTTTTTTAGAGGGGAACACATTGACTACTAATTATGTCACTAGAAGACTTTTAGTTATTTTATCTTTTGTATTTTTTATGGTGATAGTAATACAGGTCCTTGGAATAACATATTTTATGTACAGTGTATATGGCAGGTCCTTGGAATAACATATTTTATGTATATATGTTTTTTTTTTCAGATATTGGTCATTAACTAATAAAATGTACCTAGTCGGCTAGCTAGCCAGCTCAAAATGCTTGCAGATTTGACTTCGGACCATTAATCTTACTAGAGCAAGGAGCAAAACACATAAATAAATGGGTAAATTAACAATGCTCTCTGTTTGAGCTCTATAGCTCCATAACCTTAAGAGACATATGAATACAACACATACTCTCTTTTAAAACTATACTGCCTATTCAACTACTTACATATTATTATTCTTTTACAGACACAATTAAACTACATATTGAAACTGTGTAGGTTACTATCTAATTTACAGATGCATGAAATTGTATCCAGATATTTTCCATCTTGGAATACTTTGAATCCTGCAAGAGAAGGAAAAACAAGAATTTATGGGTAACACAAAATATTGCCCCCAAATCCTGTTGGTGTAAATTTATGCTGATGGAAGCTGATGATGTCATTGGCTAGTCCCAGTAAAATTTAAATTAAGTTAGAAGTTTCTTACTCACCCACCTCCAGCTCCTTTCCGGTTCTGAGGCCCCCATGGGCTCCCTTTTGCCCTGAGGATGCCTGGCGATGGTGGTGGAGGGAAAGCCAATACCCCAAAATTGCTGCTGGATTGCCACCAACAGTTCTGACTCCAGCAGCTACGATTCAGCAATGATTTTTGGTGGTGAAAGGCTCCCAAGGGCTTTCCAGAAAATGAGTGGATAGGAAACTTCTAATTAATTTAAATTACATGTTACTTGTGCCAGCTGATGATATCATCAGCTTCTGACAATGTAAGTTTACATAATAAGACTTTGATCATTATTTCATTACTATCACTCAGTTTTTCTTCTGCATTGAAAATCAAGGTGGAATGTTTTTTAAATAATTCAGCTTCCATACCGAAAGGTATACTCCTGTGAAAGTGTTTCATTCTATGGCCATTAAGAGTTTCAAGTGTTATCTCTATAGAAAAAAATGACCAATCCCAGACCAAACAGACTGAATTGGCTCAAAAACTTCACAGGTTTAACTTCCAAGTAAAAACTTTAATAAAACAATAAAAGATCTGTGTAATCAGTGTAATTCAGTATGTATCACCGTATGCAATGTAGCTAGTATGCCATCTGTAACCCTGAAGATGATGTTTTTCCTTATTGAAAGCTTGATCTTTTATTGTTTTATTAAAATTTTTACTTGGAAGCTAAACCTGTGAAGTTTTTTGAGGCAATTCAGTCTGTTTGGTCTGGAATTGGTAATCCTTATTTATCTATGATGTTCCAAGGAAGCAGATAGGTTTTTATTGTCTCTATATTTTCACTAGACATTCCCTGATGTGGAGATTCTATTTTGAGGCGAGCAGACATATATGTTCAGAAGCTTTCAAATGTAACACCCATCCTGTGGAATGCTACAATTCTAAGCCCATGAAACAAGACTACAATTAATGGCTAAGAGATCCTTACCCCTAATTAGAAGCATGAACCCCAGTGTAAAATTCAAGATAAAACTGGAGCAAGGGCAGAAAGATAGGATAGCAAATTTGTAAGCTGGAGATTATATTTATTTCTGTTGCCAAACAGGACCTAAATCAAACCTTCTAAGTTCACGTAGAATTCTGCTCACTCTGCCAAATGGAGTGAAGGAAGGATGGAGAAGGGTCAACATCAGATTTAAAGGGAATGAGAAATTATTGGGATGTAGCTGGGCAATCCTACTTTGGAGAAAATAGAACTCAACACAATAACAGGAGATAAAGATTAATTAAACCAGTTCAAACATGAAACAGAGATAGGGTAGAATGCATTTCCTTGCAAAGTGTTACCAAGGGAAACATTAGAAATGACCTTCTTGTCATTCCCTATCTGCCAAAGGCTGAACACAAACACAGGTATTTTGATGTTGAAAGCAGCACCTCTAAGCAAGGATGTTGTGCAATACGTATCTAAGCCCATCCCCAAGGTTTTGAGCCAAAAAGATCTTCAGCTTCCTGCAGTTTGTCTCCTGTATATTTCCCCTTGAATTATCAGCTGTAGCGATCTGTGCTTTTCACTTCTTATTATATGACTGAAATATTCTGCTTTTGTAAGGTTCCACCGAAATAATTCTAATATTTGTATAAGAGGATGGAGCTGAATGCAGGGAAAGAGCAGCAGAATCTGAAGTTGGGCAGTAACTTTATTAAACCCAAAAGATCATCATGACTGGTTTTAACAATCCAATAAAGGAACTGCCCATCCTCAAGCTCTGGTGCTATGAACACATCACATTTTTGTTGTTGCTGCTATTGGGAAAGAGATTTGTTTGTTACTTTTGTGCTACTCAACAGTGACACCTACAGACCAAGGCATAAAAACTATCATTACTCCAACCCGTGGGATACCTACTGTGGTGTAGTGTAGTGGATAGAATGAAAGACTAGGACTCTGGAGGCCTGGTTTTGACTCCTTCACTTAGCCATGGAAGCTCACTGGGGAGGAAGGGTTTTTAGAATTGGTAAAATACTCCTTAAATATCTCACATTCCCTAAAAGCCCTATCTGAGTCACTTATAAGTCTATTCTGATTCGATGGGACATAACAGCTCTAACAGCTCTATGGAAGTGAGAGCTGGACCATATAGAAAGCAGACCGCAGAAGAATTGATGCCTTTGAATTGTGGTGCTGGAGGAGGCTCTTGGGAGTCTCCTGGACTGCAAGGAGAACAAATTTATCCATCCTAAAGGAAATCAACCCTGAGTGGTCACTGGAAGGACAGATCCTGAAGCTGAGGCTCCAATACTTTGGCCATCTCATGAGAAGAGAAGACTCCCTGGAAAAGATCCTGATGTTAGGAAAGTGCGACGGCAAGAGGAGAAGGGGACGACCGAAGACAAGATGGTTAGACAATCTCATCGATGCTACCAACATGAATTTGACCCAACTCCGGGAGGCAGTGGAAGACAGGAGAGCCTGGCGTGCTCTGGTTCATGGGGTCACGAAGAGTCAGACACAACTAAACGACTAAACGAACGAACGAATGAACAGCTCTAACCTGTATGTGTTGCCAAGTGCTCTTTCTTATGGCCCTGGTCACCATAAAGTGATTTTCGGGGGGGGAGGTGTGCTGTCTAGGGATGATGAGAGTTGTAGTCACACACATCTGGTTGGAAAAGGCAGCTATTAACTGCTCTAACTGCTGAAAAAACTCCTCCTCCTTTAATTATTAGTTTCGTGGTGGCGCTGCGGGTTAAACCGCAGAAGCCTCTGTGCTGCAAGGTGGGAAGACCAGCAGCCGTAAGATCGAATCCACACGATGGAGTGAGTTCCCGTTGCTTGTCCCAGCTCCCGCCAATCTAGCAGTTCGAAATCATGTAAATGCGAGTAGAGAAATAAGTACCACCTCGGTGGGAAGGTAAGAGCATTCCGTGTCTAAGTCTCACTGGCCATGTGACCACGGAAGATTGTCTTCAGACAAACGCTGGCTCTATGGCTTAGAGACGGGGGTGAGCATTGCGTCCTAGAGTCAGACACGACTGGCGTAAATGTCAAGGGGAACCTTTACCTTTACTAAGAACAATATACTCACCCTTTCACATAAACCCTTCAGGTGAACTGCAGAAATTGAAAAAATCATTAGAACATCATAAATTCTTCCTCTGCCCAGCTGATGATTTAAGGATTCTGATTCCAAGGAAGCTGTTCTGGGTCTAGTGTTTGTTGTTAGTAAAGGAGTGGATGGAACTAACCAAAACTTTGTCCAGACAAAACAGAGATGCCTTTGGTCAATCAAAAGGCAGGTCAGGAGATCGGGATTCAGTCTGTGCTCCTGGATTCAGCCCTAAGCTGGGTTGCACAGTAATGGTCAGAGGTGCATTTGCACAGTTAAAAGACTGAAGAAGCTACTTGGATGAGCAGCAAAACGTTTCCACCTAATAAGAAAGAAGTCCAATTGCCATGACTCAGCTTCCAAACATAGTTAAAGCTGGCATGCCAGCTGTGCCCATATCTTGAGACATGCGATCTGACTACAGTGATGCATGAGCAACAGCTTCACCAACTAGTCAGTTTCAGGCCCAATTCAAAGTGCTGGTTGTGACGTACAAGATCCTATACTGCTTGAGTCCAGGCTATCTGAAGGATCTTATCACCCCATATGAGCCTCCTTGGCTTTTAAGATCATCTGGAGAAGACTTTATCTAAGTCCCACCACCATCACAGCCCCATTTGATGAGGATGTGAGACAGGGTCTTCTCAGAAGCTGGTCTCAGGCTTTGGAAGCCTCCTCCTTCTCTCATCCTTCTCAAGCTTTCAAGCAACAACTGAGGATTTTAAGAATGTTATATTGATTGAATTCAGAGATCTTAAATATGTGTTTAAATTAGTTTTTAATTGTGGTTTGAAAGATCTTTATACAGTGGTGCCTCGCTAGACAGTTACCCCGCATGCCAGTTTTTTCGCTAGACATTGGCTTTTTGCGATCACTGTAGCGATTCGCAAAACAGTGATTCCTATGGGGGAATTTCACTGGACAATGTTTGGTCCCTACTTCGCAAACCGATTTTCGCTAGATGACAATTTTGACAGCTCCCTCCATGCTCGCAAGCAGGCGTTTTCGGGACCTAAGATTCACAAGACAGCAATTTAAACAGCTGATCGGCGGTTCGCAAAGCGGCTTTCCTATGGCTGATCTTTGCTAGACAACAACGATTCTTCCCCATTGGAACGCATTAAACAGGTTTCAATGCATTCCAAATGGGAAATGCTTTTCGCTAGACAATGATTTCACTAAACAGCGATTTCAGTGGAACGGATTATCATCGTCTAGCGAGACACCACTGTACATTTAATTGTTTTTAGAATTGTTTCTGTGATATTTTTAACAGTGATTATTCTGTAGTTTTTATCAATGTGAGCTGGCTTGAGTTTCCTTCAGGAAGAGAGGGAGCACATTAGATAGCTAGATAGCTAGATAGCTAGATAGCTAAAGAGAGAGAGAGAGAGAGAGAGAGAGAAAGACTTTGATAATGTTTTGCTGCCCATTAAGGTCAATATAGGGTACTCCCAAAGAATTTCCCTTTTCAAGAAGACCTAAGATTCCTAGGAAACACTAGAGAAGTGTTTTTTTGTTTGTTTGTTTTTTGGTACTGTAAATAGGCCAGAGCCAGCTTGAGCCTGGAAAATATTCTTTGTTCCAGTTGAATGAAATGGAGGTGTGTGTCTGTGTGGGCTGGAACTCCCAATTTTCTGCCAGGGGAATTCCTGGAGAATTCTAGGGATTTTGCCCTCCCCAAAACACACATCCCTAGTCTCTTCATATCACCTGATAGCACTTCCTCAGATTGTCCTGGTCCTCAAATGGACACACAAAAGCTAAATTACGGCAGAAATATTTTTTTCAAAAAGAAAGAAATGAGGGTGGTTTTCTTACTTTTTATCACATCATAAATTTATACCAGAAAAATCACAGTTAATTATATAAATGGCTCTGTGTTATGGTTTGCTGTACAAGCTGGCCTGAAATCACAGTGATTCACATCACAGAAGGCCACTTACCGTGTCTTTATATTTTGAAGGGGCTTCTTCCTAATGGAGGAAATGTCTAACTCCAAAAGTCTAGGGATATCTGGAAAGCCACAAGCCTCTGACCACAACACAGACACTGGTGTTTTGGGTCCAAGAGGGATACTCAGTTCTGTGATATCAGTGTTCCACAACGATGTTAGCTGTTCACTGCTTGGCTCTCTGGAGAGGAAAGAATAACATGTTCAGATGCAAGGAAAAAAAAGAGGTGGCAGAAATTGAAGCTAGCCCCTATCTGGGAGAGAAGGACCAGGCTTCTTTTTCTAGCACTTACGGTAACTGACACAATACTGAGGGGGAAAGTGGGTGGGAGGTAATTAGAAGTACTGAAGTAGCAGGCATGGAAAGGGTTTCTTTGCTCCCAATTGTCTTCCAGCAGCATTTCCCACCACCACCAAACCCCTTAAATGACTGCTGGGTGCCATTTCACATCATTCTTTAGACTTCATTTAGTTCAAAGATTTCAGTGGTTGTCTGAAGTCATCAACAAAGAAGGATGTGGTAATGAGATGAGAGGATATTATTAGGGCACTAGTGGAACGACTTCCTCCGTAAACCTCCGCAAAGTTCATGATTGTTCTGACAGAAGGCTGGTAAAAAGTTAAACCTTGCTTTTTAAAAGAGATCTTTCAGAGACAAATCTCTTTTAAGAGACCAGCTGACACAGCTTTTAAAATGTGCATTTGAGCAAGAAAGTAACTGTCGGGTACAGTGAGACAAATCTCTTTTAAGAGACCAGCTGAGACAGCTTTTAAAATGTGCATTTGAGCAGGAAAGTACCGGTAACTGTCGGTACAGGACTTTGATTGTATAAAGTTGGAATTGGCCCTTCCATTAGAATCATAGAATTCTGAAGTTGGAAGGGACCTATAAGCCCATTGAATCCAACCCACTGCTCAAGGCAGGGATACAAATCAAAGGATATCTGCCAGGTGGTTGTCTACGTTTCTCTTGAATGCCTCCAGTTTTGAAGCACTCGCCACCTCTTGAGATCATTGGTTCCACTGTTGTACTGCTTTAGACAGGGTGGGGTCAATGGCCTCAGGCAACAGATGTAGATCATTGGTTCCACTGTCGTACTGCTCTAGACAGGGTGGGTCAATGGCCTCAGGCAACAGATGCTTGGAGGCAGGCACAGCACCTCCCCAGCCACTGTCCTAATTTATGGAGGCTGGAGCTTGGTCTGTCATACAGCCTGTTCTGCACCCCTAAATCTATCTGGCTGTTCTCAGGTATAGTGGTAAGCATTACTATCCCATTAGCAATGCTGAAGCAGAATTAAGTTCCCAGTCCTAGGCAGTTCTTTGGATGGAATGGGAGTGGGGAGGGGGTGTTGTGCTTTGCCTCAGGTAGCAGAACATTGTAGACCAACTGTCCCATCCTGATGGCCTTTTTGTCAATCAGGCACAGTATACATGTAATCGAAAGTATAAGAGTTACATTAACGTAGTGTCCCCCCTGTGGCCTCATTGTACTGAACCTGACTACAGCTGAGAATGTGAAATCTGGTGGTTTCTTCACACTGATGAGAGGACTTGAGTAGACTTTGGGCTTTAGGAAGACAGATCCAATACGTGGCATATGCAGAATCTCCTTCTTTGTGCTGTCTCCCGCTTTGATCATCAGTGGGTGAGGGTAACTTAGGTGGAGTTTGGTGCTCAAGCGAAGCTAGAAGAGTGGAGAGAAACAGTAGTCAAGGAGAAGATCTTCCATGCAGGCAGATTAGAAATAAGATCAGAAACAGAGACAAGACTAATACAAGTCTGGGGCTGTCTGGCCAGTGCCTAAATGGAAAGCCATGGATAGCTTCTGGTCCATGCAAAGACTGTGCCTCCTCCCAGCATTTAAAGGGGAACCCCCACTGGCCCAGACAACGAGCTGCCCTTTGGAAGATTGCCCTTTGGAAGGTCATTGGCTGAAATCCTGTTGCTTAGTGTAGTAAGTCACATTAGAGTAGCCTCAATGAATCAGTAGGGGTTTGGTGAGTCATCTCTTCCATAAGTTCCATTGGTTCAAATGGACCTACTCTTACTGTGCTCAAATAAATTGCAACTAGAGTAGGATCATTTGAATCAGTGGAACTTATGGAGGAGTTCATTCATAAAAGTCCCATTGATTCAATGGGCCTATGAGAGTGTGACTCACTGGGCTAAGCAACAGGATTTCAGCCACGCTGTACTTCACTTTTCTTCCATGACTAAAGAAATGTGGGAGATAAATATAGTAAAATAAATTAATAAGTTGCACCTTATTGTATTGTGCCAGTCTTTATGCTATAAAACAGGGAATGTATCAGCTTCTGGAGGCTGCTGTAAAGGAGTTTGCATCATTTTTTTTACCAGCAGTCTTTATGCTATAAAACAGGGAATGTAAAGGATTTTGCATCATTTTTTTTACCAATGGTTATATTGGTTAGGGCCATACATTTCCTGCCCCTGCTATATACCAAAGCTGTCTTCTCCTTCCCCATCTGTTAATACATCACTAGGCGTCCTTCTGTGAAGAACAGCGTCCTGCAGCCCTGCGTTTTCTAATACCCTTCTGCCTGTTCTTACTGCCAGGTAGGGTGGAATCTCAAAGTCTGTCTGCATCTTTAAATTGTCAGGAAACTCCCCAGATGCTTCAGTGTGGGATACAGCACAGGTTCTCCTTGCTTACCCTTAGACCCTAACATAACCGAAATGACCAAATGATCAAGCATGCGTGAGAAAGTTCTAAGCTAGAGAACCAAATTCCAAAGTCAAATTAAAGAGGCACTGAGAATAAAGGGAAATGGAGCAGAATAGTAATATACATACATACGTATGCGCATATGTACTTATACTGTACACATATACTGTACACATTTACAGTCTATCAGTAGACACAGAGAGAGAGACAGATAAAAGAGCCTGTGCATAATATAAACTCAAAAGTTGTGATGATTGCTTCTCCCACTTAAATGCACATATAAAGGTATTCACAATTATGCAGTGTTGTTGTCACATGCTGTCAAGGAACTGAGTTATAGTGATCCTAACAGGGTTTTCAAGGTAAATGACATATTTAAGGAGTGATTTTTTACAAATAGTAAATGACATATTTAAGGAGTGATTTTACAAATTCTATTCTCCTAGTGAGTTTTCCATGGTTGAGCGGGGATTTGAACACTTATCTCCAGAGTCCTAGTTTGTCACTCTATTCACTACACCACACTGGAAACACCAATTGTACAATGGAAGACAGAAATATAAGGAATTGTCTCATCCTTATTTGTTGTATTGACGGTGAGAGTGATGGTGATGGAAAGCACTGAAAGATGAAGAAAATCACTCCGGTCAATAATTGGCAAAAGATATTTGGTGTAATCTTCAGGAAAGCTGATGCTGCCTTTAAAGTTTTAGCTAATACTGTAAATGCTTGCCATCACAGGAAGGAGAAGATGGAACACTTGCTACTGATGTGCAATTTCATTGGAAGAGAGGAAATGGGAGTTACATGTTAGGGCATCATATGGAACACTTGCTACTGATGTGCAATTTCCTTGGAAGAGAAGAAATGGGAGTTACATGTCAGGGCATCATGGTCCAGAGTATATTCAACATTAATCTGCACATGACTCTGACTATGTTACTGTGGACTGTTACCTCCACAGGGAAAGTAAAATATGCCAGTTCTTATGTATACTTCCATGTACATGGGCTCACCTGAGCAAACAATGCAATCATCTTTTCAAGGCACCGCCGACGTTTCTTCTCCACAGCATTCTGCTTTACCGTCCAATTGTCCAGAACCTTTTTCTGGTAGGAATCCAGCTTTTCCACCATCTTGTACAAATTCTGCATTTTAACCCCATCTTGAATATCTTTAGCAGCATCCAACTGTATAGTTAAGTTTCTTCTGCAGGGGAGAGATAAAAAATGGAGAACTTCCTTAATAATTTGAACACAACGTAACAAAATATCAGAGGGATGGTTTTCAAATTAGTTTGGGGTTTTTTTGGTCATAAAATTATAGCATAACTCCAGCACACTGGAACAATAAAGGTGCATAATATTCAGAGGGATGGTTTTCAAATTAGTTTGGGTTTTTTTGGTCATAAAATTATAGCCTAACTCCAGCACACTGGAACAATAAGGTAAAGGTAAAGGTAAAGGTTCCCCTTGACAATTTTTGTCCAGTCATGTTCGACTCTAGGGGCAGTGCTCATCCCCGTTTCCAAGCCATAGAGCCAGTGTTTTTGTCCGAAGACAATCTTCCGTGGTCACATGGCCAGTGTGACTTAGACACGGAACGCTGTTACCTTCCCACCGAGGTGGTCCCTATTTATCTACTTGCATTTGCATGCTTTCGAACCGCTAGGTTGGCGGGAGCTGGGACAAGCGACGGGCGCTCACTCAGTTGCGTGGATTCGATCTTATGACTGCTTGGTCTTCTGACCCTGCAGCACAGGCTTCTGCGGTTTAGCCCGCAGCGCCACCACGTCCCTTCGCCACCACGTCCCCAATATTATGCACAATAAAGGTGCATGATACTGTTTTTGTTTCTTGTTCCAACCTATTTCTGGCATACATTTACAGAATATTAGCCAAATTCCAATGTCCTGCCCATATACTATATCCTCCTCTTCCTCCTCCTCACAACAATAACACAGCAATAACAACAAACAACAACAACAGCATGCCATCAATTTTATTTCAGTGCATAGCAATCCTACCAGGGTTTTCTTCTTGGTATAAAGTACTGTACTCAGAAGTGCTTTAACCAATTGTTCCTTCTAGCGGTGCTCTGGAATTGTCCCATTTCTAAAATGCCATCAAGGTGCCAGGGCACCTGGTCAGCCACATGTCCTCAGGGTGACCTTGGCTGGCCTTCCTTCCAGGAGGCGCAGTGGGCACTCCCTCTGGCTCAGCAGCACAGCACTCCAGCCTACCTAATCAACTCTGTCAACCCCTCCTTAGTCTGAGAGGCATTTTAAAATCGAGTGTTGTACCTTATTGCTTTGAATCTGATTTGGTGTTGATTTTGTTTACCATTTTTACTGCAGGATTTGATTCTTTTTAATATTTGGATATTTACTGTTTTTAGCTTTCAAATATGCATATAAGAGAAACATTCCCATTTTAAAAATAATGTAAAGCAGAATGAAACCTTCATCATGGCAAACAAATAGAAACAAACAAACAAACAAAACACTTTAAAACTTAAATTTTAAAAAAATCTCTTTCATTACACCTTTTTAGCCACCCAGAGTAGACTTCGGTCTAGATGAGCGAGGGAATAAATCTAATAAATCAAATAAATAAATAATTTTTGTTAGACTTTTGATGTATTCTGCTGCCCATCATTATGGTTTTGTACAATTTGATAGTGTTTGAAAGCTGGAAATCTACTCCAAACCTTTAGAGTGCCCTATCTGCCATTAGTGGGAAGGGCAGTTGTTATAAGGGAAAGAAAGACGGGGCTGAAGGGTTCCGCTCCAGGTGGCTGAAACCAAGATGTAAAAATGAAACTTGAAAAACCTGTGTAAGGATAGAGATTGTGTTGCCTGTGTTAAGAATCTACCAATTCCCACTGTGTACTCTTCATACATTTTCAGCTCTTTCCTTTTTTGTAAGGTAACAGATCCTCCTGGAACTTCCTTTCTCTTGAAATGGGGGAATGAGCTCAGATAGCTGGATGGAGGTTGATTCAGCCTCCCATCCTTCTGAGGTTGGTAAACGAAGTATCTAGCTTGCTTGGGGTGGGGCAATGTTTGGTCTGCACAATTAAATTGTAAACCACTCGGAGATTGCTTTGAGCATTATGGGGTGGTATTTAAGCAGCACATTTTTTTTGCTTTACATCTTGGATTTGAGTGCTTGAATTATCTGCAATGTACACAGCTATTAAAAGTAGATTATATTACCTAAAATCTTCATTCTTCATTGTTCATACTACATACCCTCAGTGAATCTAATTCTGAAAGGGGAAAATACATCATTGGAATTTTTTGTGTCTGTATTTATTCAATTCCACTTTTTACCTGTTGCATTTTTTTTCTGTTAGAAAAATTGCAGTGAGAGGAAATCTTTAGGAAAGAAGGTTAAGGGGGTTAGAATAGTCCTCTCCTGAATTTAACCTGTTTTGGGCGTTCACCTCTTTAGTGCATTATATCCTTCCAGTGGTTGACGTTCTCAGGTACAGACTGACGTATCTCTCAGGCACCGTCAATCTTATCTAGGGACAAGAAGCACCAGTACCTAGATTGCCCGTAAGTAACCTCTCTTCACCATCGATTTTTGATCTTACCTGGCTTCCTGGAGATGGTAGAAAGATGTGTACTTTTGGAAAAGCAAACCCAGTCTCTCCACATCGCTGTGCAGTGCTTGGTTGATCATCGCCTTGGCTTTGGAGTAGAGTTCTGACGAAACCCCAGCATTTTTGGCCGCTTCCTTTAACAACTCCAGGTTTTTTCTCTGAGCTTCCACATTAATCCAGTAACGCTTCTCTGTGATGCCAGGGGCAGAAAAATCCCCGGCTTTGGTGAACAATTTGGGGAACCAGGTGGTCTCCAGCTCTAAGGTGTCTTCCTCAAATTCAGTGCTAGGAATGGGGGTAAGTTGAGGCGTAGTAGAGGGGTGTCTTTCCCTGGAGGTGGGAGAGACTTTCTCTTGCTTAGAAAACTGATCCAGAGCAGAGCCTTCCACCACTTTTAGCTTGGGAGCTGGGGACTTGGCTTCTTTCCACAGCTGTCGCTGCCTCTCCTGCAAGCGCTTGCTGTGTTCCTGCCATTTGTATTGCTGCGCCCGCTGTCTCTGCATCTGACGGTGCCAGCTTTCTAGCTGCCGCCGCCACCGCTTCTCCCAGAGGTGCTGGAGGGCTTCCTGCCGCTCCTGCTGCTCCTGCTGCAACCTCTTCAGCGCTTGCTCCTGCTCCTGCCGTTCCTGCCGCAAGGCCTCCAGCTGCTCCTCGTGCTGGGCCAGCTGCTCCTGCAGCCGGTGCCTCTTTCTCTCCTGCTCCTCGTCCTCCTCTTGCCAGGTCTTCGCTTGCTGCTCGTGCCAGGCTTTCAGCTGATTCCAGCGCCACTGCTCTTCCGCTTGCTCCCCTCGCATTTTCAGGTACTCTCTGTATTCCTGCTGCAGCCGCTCAATCTCCTGCTGCAACAGGTCCTGCTGCTCCTTCTGCTGCTCTCTCTGCACCGACCAGTGTTGTGCCTGCGCCTCATTTTCCTGCTGCAGGTGCTGCCAGTGCTGAAGCTGCACCTGCCACAAATGCTCTTGTTCCTTGTGCTGCTGCTGCTGATACTCCCACTGCACCTGCTGCTGCTCACACATCTGCTTCCATTGCTCAAGGTGCTTCTCTTCCTCCTCCAGCCGCTGCCGCTCCTCTTGCAGCTGCCTAAGTTCCTCTTGCAGCTGCTCCTTCTCTCTTTCCAGCTGCTCCTGCAGCTGCATGTGCAAGAGCTCCTTGCCTTCATCCAACTCCTGCAAGCTCTCCATTTCAGCGACTGGTTTACTCTCTTTCCACAGTGGCTCTTTTCGCCTGCGGAGGTGCGTCTGGAGTTCATCAGAAGGTTGTATTATTTTGTGTTTTTTCCCTTCCCATGATGATGCCCTGCCCAGCAGATGTCTTTCATCTGGCAAATCCTCCAGAGATCGCTTTTCTTTGTGGGGAGGTAACATCTGGTAATAGTCTTCTTCCTCCTCCTCTTCCAGCTTTGGCAGGTGTCCATCCAGTGGGGAGAGTCTTTCTTTTTGATACAGTGGCTCCCTCTTCACTTCCATCTCCTGCTCTTTCTCCTGTTTCTTCTCTTTCTTTTCTTTTTCCCTCCCTCCCTTCTCCAGCCCTATCTCCTGCTCCATTTCCTGCTCAAGTTCCTTCTCTTCCCATGCCTCTAAATGTGAGGCATTTCCAGATGTTGTTGGTTCTTCACGTTCTCTTCTGGGCACACTCAAAGAACTACCTGAGGATAAATGGCCCACAGCAGAAGGAGTGTCATGGAGAGAAGTTATGATTTCGATTTCTCTTTCCTCTCCATCTAGCAACTCTTCTTTGCTTTGTACGCTTCTCATAATCTTCTGTTTCATGGAGAAGCATTCTTCCAGTTTTTTGTCTATTGCCTGAAAAAGTTGTTGAACCTGTGGATCTGTGGGCTCCAGCCGCTTCTGAGTGCCTAGGGAGCCCGTCTTTGCTTTCTCTAGCTTATCCTCTATACAGGCAAGGATAGCTGTTTGGAATTCTTGCAATGCAGAGCTTATGTCTTGACCAGATGGCACTTCTTCCAAAGTCCGTCGCCTTTCCTTTTTAAGTGCTTGTTCAGGTACAGAAGGTACTAAGGAGAGCCTTTTTGCAGTGTATCCTTTGCCTGGTTTGTCAATGGGATGGCTTCCAGTCACCTGTCCTAGTGCAATATCCGGATAAGCAATGCCCAGTTCCTCAAAAATGTCTTTGATAGTCTCTGCATCTATCACACCCCCTCTGTCCCTGGCGGTCTCTTGCAATTTAGTTCCTAAGCTCTGGAGGACCTCTTCTGTCCTCTCTGCCTGCTTTGATTGCAGTATGCCTGCTAACATTTTACTAGTGCGCTTTGTGTCTTTCTTTTCACGGATTTCTTTTGACTTGCCTGTTAACCGTTTCTGTACCTGCATGGTTCCAGCTTCTTGTGCATCGGCACTTGACTCCTCAGCTCCTTCCACTGCCCCTGGTTGAGGACTTTCTGGGGACTCTGCATCTGACCTCTCTCGGCTGTCTGGAACCATACCCTCTCCTATAAATTTGACAATCTTTTTTACTTTCATAGTCTGTACAAGTTTGCCTGCAGTGCCTCTTAGTGATACACTGCGCTTGCCTCGGGTCCCTTCTGATTTGACGCTGGGACCCGGTGTGCTTTCAGTTGGCTGACTCGATAATGGTGGAGATTCCACTTCAGGAGAAGTGCTTGTACTGTCCTCTTCAGCCCTTGGTTTTGGGGCACTATCTACTGAAGCTTGGGGTGATGTTTCTCCTGCATCATGTAAGGAGGCAGATTTTGTCACCTTTGTATCATCTAACATAGCAGGTTGTGCCACAGCTATGTCATCTAAAGTGGCAGGTTGTGTCGTATCATCCAAGGTGGTAGGTTGTGTGACCGCTCTGTCATCTAAAGTGGCAGGTTGTGTCACTGATGTATCATCTAAGGTGGTAGGTTGTGTGACCGCTCTGTCATCTAAAGTGGCAGGTTGTGTCACTGATGTATCATCTAATGTGGTAGGTTGTGTGATCGTGGTGTCATGTAAAGTAGCAGGTTGTGACACTTCAGTGTCGATTGCAGGGGCAGGTTGTACCACTGATGCATCATCTGAGATGATACTGCTTTCTTCAGGTGGCTGTGATGGCTCATCTGAGGGTTTTGTAGACTTTGTTATAAGGGAAGTTTGTAATTTTTTCCATTGACTTAACTTTGAGGACCGTCTGACAACTTTGGTTATTTTCCGTTTGCTGATGAGCGCTTGGTCTTTTTCAAGAGATGGTCTGTCCTCTGTAGTAGTGCTGATAGGTGGTGCTAATAAGAGGTGCTCTTCTGTGGGGGGTTTTTCTTCTGGGCTCTTCTGGGCTTCCTCTTCCAGGGGGGCTTCTTCTTCTGGAGACTTGGGAGCTTTCTCTTCCAGAGGGCCTTTTTCTTCTGGAGACTTGGGAGCTTTCTCTTCCAGAGGGCTTTTTTCTTCTGGAGACTTCAGTGCATCCTCTGCCAGGGGACCTTTTTCTTCTTGGGACTTCTGTGCTATCTCTGGTTGATGTTTGTCAGATGAAATGTCAGTTGGTACCACCTCTGGAAATGTGTCTTTCTCTTGGTCCTTCTTATCCATCTTAATCCCACCATCTTGAGTGCTTATTGTAGGAGGAGGCAAGTAGTCCGTTTTCTCTGGAACAGTTGCTTGCAGTTTTTCCCTCTTACCCTGTTCATCTGCCAGCTTCTCGATGGGCATTTCTCTTTCTTCAGGTTTTGCATGCAGTTCCGGTATAGATGGAGCCTGGAGTTTTACAGGTGACTGTTCCCCCTCCTTGCTTTTCAGTTTCTTTTCTTGATCTGAGAGAATCCTCTCAGGAGTCTTTCCTGAATGAACCTTGGGAAAGGAGACTTTACTCACCAACATGCCTCTCTCATTGGCATCCTGCAATTCTTTTTGCATTGTCTCATTAGTGATGAGGAGTATCTTGCACCGCTCTTCAACTTTGTGGACTTGCATTTCAAGAGCTGCCTTTTTCTCTAGCGCTGCTCGCAATTCTTTCTGCAGTTGGACCACCTGAGGGTCTTGCTTCCTGCTATCTATGGAAAGCAAGCTGTCGTACTTGATTTTAAGGCCCCGGCATTGCTTACTTAGAAGACTGAAGGCCTTTGTAAGGTTCGCCACCATGGTTGCAATGTACTTGATGGCAACATACTCTGCTCTGTTGAAGAGTGGACAATCCGTCATCTCGTGCAGCATGATGCTTACTTCATTACAGTGGGCAAGAGTGAGAGGTTCATCTTCCAACATCTTCTCCAATGTCAAGGGCTCACCTTCTTTGGGTGTATCTGCCACTTTATCACGCCATGCTTTAAACAGGCTAGGTCTTATTGCTGAGACAATCAAAGAGATGAACAAAAAGGGAATTAGAATACATCCAGAGCGAAATTAGCCCAGTGGGTAAAGAGTACTAGACTAGGATTGTTAAAATGACCTCATTGCAGGAATCCTTATAAAGCTTTTCACCAACTGAAGGTAACAGCAGAATACCATTGTGAACATGAATAAGGTGGAAGAGGAATGCCCCTGTTGTCTGCAGAGTAATCTCTTCTACTGGAAGGGGGCAGGGATTTGAGGAGAGGCCTCAGGGAGGGAGGAACACCTTTGTAACCCGTAACAAGCCAGATTAGGACCACAGGCCATATTTTTACATAACTTAATATAAAACAAAGTCCGTGGACAGCCCCAAACGTAGCACTGATTCTCCAGCTGATTGTTCCTGAATGACTGCAATGAATAAATCGGACAAGAAGATACCAAGGAACACCATTTTAGGTATTTGGGGAAGTAAACCCTCTCCAGAAATTGGTCCCCAAACATAGTCAATAAACGTAGTCTATGACTGACACTGTTAGACAGGTCAGGTCAAGTCAATGCTTACTGGAGTCATAGGAATCATGTGGATTAAAACAGCACACTAATTAGCAGGTACACAAACAAAGAGAAAGTACAATTTATGCAGTTCCGTTTATGCATTATTCATAGCTATTTTTTTTATTAGCCACCATCCCCGTGACATAAAGAACATTGCCTGACAACTGACCAGATGAGGCTGAACGAAACAGTTGAGAAAAAATGCAGTTTCCATGTATGAGCTAGATTCAGTCCATCAGGCAAATCTGGCCTGCTTTTTTGTGTGCCCGTAACTTAAACTCAAAATAATCATTATTGGCTAAAATCCAGTGTAACTTTATGCCATGCAACCTGGATGAAATAATCATCTCGCGACATAGGGAGCTGTCTTGCCCTTGGAAGCCTTTAGATGAGGGAGGAGCCTGAAATTGCCTTCCTCCCTTTCTAAGCAAGACATTGAGCAGTAGTTCCCATTTCCCTTCCAATTGTTTGGACCATAAAGAGAGCAAACTGTGGGACTCTTCTGTGGATTAAGGAGACACACACTACCTGGATCGAACGCGGCTTTGCTTCGTTCCTCGTAAAGTCTGGCTGAATTGGCTAAGGGCGTCCTAGTGCTGCAAAACAAAAGAGGCTGTGCAGCAGTTTCACACTTTAGCCTTCTTAGTGGAATTTCCACGGAAGGAAGCGCTGAGAAATCTTGGGGAATGTCTTGGACTCTCTAATAAAAATGTTGGAGTGAGGCAGTGCCGTTGCAGAACAGTAAGAGTCCCACTGTCTTCTTACTTTCTGATCTATATTCTGAAAACACCCTGAGATTCAAGAGTTTGGTTCTGAGCTTGAACAGTGGTTCCTTCTGTGGATGACCCAGAGCTTGGAAACCCTGGTCAAAATCCTGTTGCTCAGAGTAGTGAATCACACTAGAATAGGCCCATTAAATCCACAGAGAGTTAGTGAGTCAGTTCCTGTGCAAATTAAATTGATTGAAATAGGCCTATTCTAACTACTGTGCTTAAGTAAGGTCTAGTCCGTTTTCTCTGGAACAGTTGCTTGCAGTTTTTCCCTCTTACCCTGTTCATCTGCCAGCTTCTCGATGGGCATTTCTCTTTCTTCAGGTTTTGCATGCAGTTCCGGTATAGATGGAGCCTGGAGTTTTACAGGTGACTGTTCCCCCTCCTTGCTTTTCAGTTTCTTTTCTTGATCTGAGAGAATCCTCTCAGGAGTCTTTCCTGAATGAACCTTGGGAAAGGAGACTTTACTCACCAACATGCCTCTCTCATTGGCATCCTGCAATTCTTTTTGCATTGTCTCATTAGTGATGAGGAGTATCTTGCACCGCTCTTCAACTTTGTGGACTTGCATTTCAAGAGCTGCCTTTTTCTCTAGCGCTGCTCGCAATTCTTTCTGCAGTTGGACCACCTGAGGGTCTTGCTTCCTGCTATCTATGGAAAGCAAGCTGTCGTACTTGATTTTAAGGCCCCGGCATTGCTTACTTAGAAGACTGAAGGCCTTTGTAAGGTTCGCCACCATGGTTGCAATGTACTTGATGGCAACATACTCTGCTCTGTTGAAGAGTGGACAATCCGTCATCTCGTGCAGCATGATGCTTACTTCATTACAGTGGGCAAGAGTGAGAGGTTCATCTTCCAACATCTTCTCCAATGTCAAGGGCTCACCTTCTTTGGGTGTATCTGCCACTTTATCACGCCATGCTTTAAACAGGCTAGGTCTTATTGCTGAGACAAGGAGATGAACAAAAAGGGAATTAGAATACATCCAGAGCGAAATTAGCCCAGTGGGTAAAGAGTACTAGACTAGGATTGTTAAAATGACCTCATTGCAGGAATCCTTATAAAGCTTTTCACCAACTGAAGGTAACAGCAGAATACCATTGTGAACATGAATAAGGTGAAAGAGGAATGCCCCTGTTGTCTGCAGAGTAATCTCTTCTACTGGAAGGGGGCAGGGATTTGAGGAGAGGCTTCAGGGAGGGAGGAACACCTTTGTAACCCGTAACAAGCCAGATTAGGACCACAGGCCATATTTTTACATAACTTAATATAAAACAAAGTCCGTGGACAGCCCCAAACGTAGCACTGATTCTCCAGCTGATTGTTCCTGAATGACTGCAATGAATAAATCGGACAAGAAGATACCAAGGAACACCATTTTAGGTATTTGGGGAAGTAAACCCTCTCCAGAAATTGGTCCCCAAACATAGTCAATAAACGTAGTCTATGACTGACACTGTTAGACAGGTCAGGTCAAGTCAATGCTTACTGGAGTCATAGGAATCATGTGGATTAAAACAGCACACTAATTAGCAGGTACACAAACAAAGAGAAAGTACAATTTATGCAGTTCCGTTTATGCATTATTCATAGCTATTTTTTTTATTAGCCACCATCCCCGTGACATAAAGAACATTGCCTGACAACTGACCAGATGAGGCTGAACGAAACAGTTGAGAAAAAATGCAGTTTCCATGTATGAGCTAGATTCAGTCCATCAGGCAAATCTGGCCTGCTTTTTTGTGTGCCCGTAACTTAAACTCAAAATAATCATTATTGGCTAAAATCCAGTGTAACTTTATGCCATGCAACCTGGATGAAATAATCATCTCGCGACATAGGGAGCTCTCTTGCCCTTGGAAGCCTTTAGATGAGGGAGGAGCCTGAAATTGCCTTCCTCCCTTTCTAAGCAAGACATTGAGCAGTAGTTCCCATTTCCCTTCCAGTTGTTTGAACCATAAAGAGAGCAAACTGTGGGACTCTTCTGTGGATTAAGGAGACACACACTACCTGGATCGAACGCGGCTTTGCTTCGTTCCTCGCAAAGTCTGGCTGAATTGGCTAAGGGCGCCCTAGTGCTGCAAAACAAAAGAGGCTGTGCAGCAGTTTCACACTTTAGCCTTCTTAGTGGAATTTCCACGGAAGGAAGCGCTGAGAAATCTTGGGGAATGTCTTGGACTCTCTAATAAAAATGTTGGAGTGAGGCAGTGCCGTTGCAGAACAGTAAGAGTCCCACTGTCTTCTTACTTTCTGATCTATATTCTGAAAACACCCTGAGATTCAAGAGTTTGGTTCTGAGCTTGAACAGTGGTTCCTTCTGTGGATGACCCAGAGCTTGGAAACCCTGGTCAAAATCCTGTTGCTCAGAGTAGTGAATCACACTAGAATAGGCCCATTAAATCCACAGAGAGTTAGTGAGTCAGTTCCTGTGCAAATTAAATTGATTGAAATAGGCCTATTCTAACTACTGTGCTTAAGTAAGGTCCTGATCACACTGGTAAAAGAACTGGTATGTGAACCAGGTTTAGCTGCAATTGCATCAGTGTTTGAAAAGTTTATCACGCGAGGCACAGTGGATCTTAGTTTTTTCCCCCCCTCCTGGACTCGTGTTACTCTGCTTGGAAGCACGTCCTTTAACCTCCTCCTGGCAAGATTGTTTGTCTTAGCTCGGGGCTGAATTGTGGCCTAATTCCTCAAATTGCTCAGTGGGCCTTGATCTCCCGCCATAAATTGCTCCTTGCCTGTTTGCCCTCTGCCACCCTGCTCCTTGCCTTCCTCCCACACGCACCCTCCTCTGCTGCTTTTCCAAAGAGGCGGGCATGATTGGGCAGTGAAGGTGAGAGAGGGGACAGGGAGGCAGTGACAAGAGCCATGGTGAGAGGGAAAGAAAGGAGGGACAGGCAAGTGCAGGGAGCCTGAGAGGAAGGAGAGGATGAGGCCACAGAGAGAGAGTGAGTGGTCTTCATGGATACACATGATTTTTATGATGTCTTACAGTTCAGGAAAAATCAAGAAAAGGCTGCAAGGCTGTGGAAACAATACAAATGTAGGAGCAAATGATACCTTTAATCAGCCATTAAGAAGGGTCAATGTTTATGTAGGATCATCCCTCAAACAATCTCAAATTCTCTGTCATAGGAATCACCTCGGCTCACAGATTGGATAGAGGTTTGTGGATGATCCCATGTTAAAATCATGGGGATACAGGAGGATCTATGCTTGGATCAGTGTTTTTGCCCCACTGTAAATCCAGGCACCCCTCATTTTGCTGTTGTATTCTGTGGGTACAAATGGGAACAGCTGCAGCATTCTTAAAGAGACAGAAGCCACTAGGCTTTCTGAAAGGACAAACAGCTTAAACCTCTCTCTCTCTCTCTCTCCCTCCCTCATGTGTCACCACAGCAGTTGGGGCAGGTGGCCAGCATGAGGGCAAAGGAAGCAAGCCCGAAATGAAACAGTTTTAAAAGCCTGTGTAGCCTCCTATAGCTTAAAATATATTAAAAGGTCTCCCAAGAGGAGCAGTTTGAAAATGCAACACCTTCACCACTATCTCAAGGAGATGCAGACAATGACTCATATAATATTTGACTCTCATATGACTTTCAAATTACAGCAAAAAAAAAACCTCGTATGCATATCATAGGGGTTAATCAGTAGTGTAGATAAGTCCTAAGTCACAGTTAGAATAGGTCTATGTGAATCAATGGAATATATGGAGGAATTGACTCACTAAATCCCCATGGATTCAATGGGCCTATTTTGATGTGAATGACTATGCTAAGCAACAGGATTTTGGCTAATATTTTTAAAAGCTCTGGGTTGACCTTTGCCATATTCTCCAGGGAATATGCCAAAACAAAAGCCTCTGATTTCTAACACACTTTCTCTGCAATATCCATAATGGTTAGTAGATACTTGACTTCCTCCTTGGCTTGATCTTCTCTTCAAAGAGTGGGTAGAATATCTTAATCAGATGTTTAATGTTTGCATCAATTGAGTTAATAAAATTCAGGAGACGTTCTTCCATCTCATCAATTATGCCGTCGCTGGGTGCCTCTCTTTCTCTCCAGTCAATTGTTTTCAGCGATTCATCTAGGAGAAATGTTTATATCCAAATAAGATGGAAGCAAACACCCCTTAGGTTAAATCAAAATTATTTTTAAAAGAATATTGTTAAAAAGACATTTGAATGGTCAGACACTTTACTCCCTCAATATATTCAGTGAACAGGAGGTTGTTCATGATTTCGGGTACCTTGGCTCAACAATCTCTGACACCCTCTCCCTAGATGTCGAGCTGGATAAGTACATTGGCAACACAGCTACCATATTCTCAAGACTCACAAAGAGAGTATGGCTCAATAAGAAGCTGACAGTATATACCATGATCCAGGTCTATAGAGCCTGTGTCCTGAGTACACTCCTGTGCTGTAGTGAGTCCTGGACCCTTTGTGCACGACGGGAGAGGAAGTTGAACCCGTTCCATATGCGTTGTCTCCAACGCATTTGGTATCACCTGGCAGAACAAAATTCCAAATAGAGCAGACCCAGAACCAGTTGGAATTTTTAGCATGTATACATTGCTGAAACAGCGATGTCTACATTGACTCGGGCATGTCGTAAGAATGGATTCGAAAAGATCTCCTGTATGGAGAATTAGTTCAGGGAAAGTGCCCCAGAGGGAGACAACAGCTCCGATACAAGGATATCTGCAAGTGGGATCTGAAAGCCTTAGGAATGGATCTCAACAGATGCGAAACCTTGACATCTGAGCGTTCAGCCCGGAGCCAGGCGCTGCAGCACGGCCTCTCCCAATTTGAAGAGACCCTTGTCCAGCAGGCCGAGGCAAAGAGGCAGTCCCAAAACTGGCCAAATCAGGGAGCTGGACAGGGGACAGATTGCATTTGTCTTCAGTGTGGAAGGGATTGTCACTCTCGAGTTGGCCTCCTCAGCCACACTAGATGTTGTTCCAAGTCCTCTATTTAGAACATGTTGCCATAGTCTCTCGAGACTGAAGGATGCCTAATCTAATATTCAGTGAAAGCCATTCTGCTGGAATGGTAATTCAGTGGGAATGGATGTGCATACAGAAAGATTGCACATTTGTTTCCAGGTCAAAGAGTCAGAGATTAGGTTACCAGGTCTCAGTTGTGGACTAAATTTTCATGGAGTGGCTAAGTTTTATGGGCAAAGGGACAAGCCTCAGGGCAAGCAGCATGACAGAAAGAGAACAATCAATTTATGTGTGTAAAGTGGGCAGCATTCTGCCCTTGTTTTTACTGTTTTAAAACACTTTAAGAAACAAAAAGGGTCCCAAATCTTTCAAAAGTACCACCCGGAATATATATATCTCTCTCTCTCATACACACACACACACACACACACACAGAGAGAGAGAGAGAGAGAGAGAGAGAGAGAGAGAGAGAATTAGTTGTCATTTATCTTTTGAAAGATGGATTGTTTTAAGATGAATAAATTGCTGCTCAATAGCTCAGCGATTAAATAACAAAATCAACTGTAATTTTGTTTGTTTTTTAAGTAACAAATGTTAGTGATATTACCAGAAAAGCAACATGCTACAAAGAATATCACTTGTCATTTATTACTTCCAAGACTTCCCGACGTACCCCAAATTCCAACTCACATCATTATGGAACTTACACAAGTTTTTAAATGATTCCAGCACCATCTCTAACTCTTG